CTTTAATGGGGGAGACGCCGAGAGACTGTCAAATATTTGTTTGAAGGCGCACATAACTTGAACAAAAAGAAAGAACTTGGATAAAATAGATGACTTGATTTGAACCACAAGAAATATAACTTAAAGAACTAAATCATACTCAAATCAATGAAATAGATCCATAAGTCATCAAATAATGAACAAAACGAATGCTAAATCAACTTGTGTAGAATATTGAAATGAATGTCAACACAAAAGCATGAGACTCATGGAGGAAGATATCAACACATAATCAACATGCAAGCAATAATCAAGTGGAAATGCAACGAACATGAACCTAATTCAAAGTTGAGCATAACTAAGATAAATGAGCAATAAAGAAACTTCATTTGAACAATGACATAATCAAAAGAAGATAAATAATAAAAAACTCATGCATTTTGACATTGAATCTTTGAACAAAGAATGATCATATGAATCATGGCCAAGGGCGGAGGCAGAGTGGGGGCATTGGGGGCACATGCCCCCACTGGCCGAATGATTTTTTTTTTTCAGTAACCTTTATGTATACAAGCTCTCACTGCAAAAAAATGTTAAAAATCATTCGGTTGAGTTCTCTCATCCATGAATATTCTCTCTCATCCCTCCCTAATTGTATTGCAAATAAAAGCTAAAATTCACTCTGTGTTGTACGTACAAAAAGCAAAAAACCCTTTAACCAATAAATTTTTAGTGTTTTTTTATCATTCTTAAAAAAAAAGATTCAATTTTATTTTAAGGATTCTATTTTTACTTGTAAAAATTAAATTAAATTAAAAAATGTAATAGTAAAATTTTATTTGAATTAAAATAATTTTAATGTTTTAAATGAAAATTTTTCGTATAGTTTGTGTTTATTTTTGTTCGCTTGTGCAAATTTTAATTTTTTCTATGATAATATATATAACATAAAATTATTATTTTAGCCATGTAAAAATTGCACTTTAACCGCTATGAGAAGGAGCATAACAAAAATCTAGCACTCTATTTGGCAATTAAGGTTTCGTCTGAGATGTCTTTCTTAATGCTTCTTAAAATAATTTTTTAAGTAAAAAAAATTTAATTTTTATATTATAAAGCTACTTTAAAAAATATAAGAAGAATATATTTAATAGCTTTGACAATGAATTGACTGTACAACGGTTTCAAAAAATGAAGACTCAGGGGAGAAATTATAGATAATATGTAAGTTTTTTTTGTTTTATCATATATTTTATTTTTTATAATAAAACTAACGATTTAAAAAAAATAAAACCGCTAATGCCGATTCCAAGCCCGGATGAAAAAGTTTTAGAATTTTTTTTACATCATAATTTGTGCCCCGCATAAAAAAAAATCATAGCTCCGCCCTGATCATGGCCATTAGAAAATGAATGTAAACATGATAAATGATGAAAGCATTCAATGCACTACGAGCAAGACTTGAGGATGATGTTCACAGGAATCTTGCAAATGGTCATTCCAAATGCATGCAATGATTCATCTATGAGTAGTGTAGTGATACACTCATAAGTAAAGCTTGGAGATCTATTATCTCTAAAAGGCATGATGAGTATGAAAGCAAATGATAATTGTCTATATCATTGGCAATAATATCGTGAAAATGATACATGTCTATTCCCTACAAGAAGAAAGAAATATTGATAGTGGAGGGCTTAGAGGATGATGATTGTTTGCAGCTCCTCAACAACCATGCATTTGCTAATATGGAGAACCATGATGATAATAAATTAAAACCCATTGCCAAAGGTGTAGTTAAGAAGCTTTCAGAATCTGGCAAGAAGGATTTGGTCTGTAGTGAAAATAACAATGTGATACATCTAGATGTATTCAAATGAATGTCAACACACAATGCATTAAGCTCACTAGAGTTGATGATCAATATTTGACAAATGCGCTGTTAAAGATTAATGCAAAGCTTGGTGGCCTAAACTCATGATTACAAATAGAAAACACACATGCTATTCCAATCATCTCAAGGATTGCAATAATTATTTTAGGAATGGATACCTCGCATGGCTCTCCTAGACGGTCTGATGTGACTTCAATTGCTGTAGTTATCAATTCGGAGTGGTGGCCCGTGATTTTTACATACATGGTATCAGTGAGAATGTAGTCATTCAAGGTTGAAATGATTTATTCTTTATTTAAGCCAACAATAAAAAATGATGATGATTGCATAATTAGGGAGTTGCCTATTGATTTCTATACAAATTTTGGGAAAAGAAAGCTATATCAAATCATTATTTTCAAAGATGGAGTGATGGTTATGCATCTAACATGCCACATATGGGAAAATACTGAGGGGCTATGATAAGCACAAGTTCCTACGAGCTGTCATACAAGACCCGTCAAATATCCAAAAATGTCGCCGCATGCACTACAATTTGCACACACAAACGCCAAGAAATGCATATGCAATCATCCACCTGCATGGGCCTTGGCAAGCGTGTTATGGGCACACACGTGCATCTAGGGATGTTCCGCGGGTCAAACAACAAAACAAAGTTTGAGCCCGATCATTCTATGTGGATAAATAGGAGTCAACTCAGCTCGAACTATCAAATGAATATATGGCCACATCATTGACAAGAATATTCATTTTTATAGTTCATGTTAGGCCTTCAAGGCCCATAAAAAGGGACATTCGCCAATAAAAGCATACAACTGACATGAACTCGTTCCTTTATTGGCAAGTTGACAGAGTTGACAATGTTCAATCATGAATGAAAATGCTCATAAATATCCCAATGATGACTGTGCATAATGCAAATATCAACTAGAGGGATTAACTCTAATATTTTAAAATTTCACTCAAATGTCAATGAAAATTCAAAACTCTAAGAAAATATCAAACAAAAAATATTTAAAATTGAATTCAAGTATCAACCACTTAAAGAAAAATTCATACATCCTCCATAATAGTTTACCGAGGTGGACAAATTTGAAAATGCACTTCAGCTTACAAAGAGTTAAGGATGTGTCACGTGTCCTATAACCAGTGATTTTGCCGTAAAATGGCACCACATGTAAACGGTTATAATCGAGGCCCTCTTAATCGAGTTGTTTACTGCCAAATGACACCATTAAATTATAGTCATGCTAGAGTCCGGATGCTCCCAATGGCTTCAATTCCTTGAGATATAAATCAATAGGATATAGTCAATAAGGCACAAAGCCCTCTGTTAGCTATGGTGGATTCAAATTTGTCCATTCAGACAAATACCAATCATAGGTTGACAGGTACCCTTGGATGACGCACCACATGGTTGCCGACAAGAATATTTCTATCAGGTTGGGTACCTATCTCCTTTAACTAAGTAGATCAGGAATCATGATGACCTATGACGACAGAACCATGGGATCTTGATTGGGTCCGCATCCATTCCCCTGCCATCCTCTTTAAGCGCAAGATGATGAAATTTTCAATTTTAAATATTAAACTTCCAATGCCCAAACCTATGATGCTACTATATGCCAGATAACATGTATATTTATATATCTGATCGACGACTAGCCTTAATCGAAAGTTGTCTCTCGTTATCGGGAGGGGTAATTAACTATAAGGGCTTGCGCCTATAGAAAACCAGAACTCAGATCATAAAGTCCTCACAAAATAAGGACGAAATATTTAGGTAGTGTCTTATCTATAAGCCCACATGCCTTCCCGAAATTTACCCCAGAACTTAATCCGTTAAAACTCTCCCAAGAGTGGGGGAGGCTGGGGCTCGAATTTTTGTAGCCCACACATCCTTCAATTTTGTTTTAAATGACACTCACACTCTTAGATCCCCTATAAACCCTAACAACAGCAAAAAATAACTCCCACATTGTTCTGAAATTTTCTTCAAAACAAAGTAGATCCGCATAGTAGCACTACGGTGCTCTTAGCAAGCGCTTAGGCGCTCATATAGTGCCTTATATCAACTTGTTATTGGGATTTAACAATCTAGTGTTGTAAGTCGGCAACTTAGTACTGACTACTTTGTAAAAAAATTTTAAAATTATTGGAGACATTCTACTTGACTATAAATTTATCAAATCAGAGTTCAAACAATTCTGAATTTAATTTCAAAACTTTTCTATTTAGATATTACTTCTAGATTTGTGTTGATCAAGTAGATTTTTTGGAGACAAATCTGGTGCGGTGCATCGAAATTTGTTTAGGAATATCTATATTGTTTTGAGTTTGCCTAGCCACCAATTCAATTGTATCGAATACAATTGGGCACCAATACATTTATTCTAAATTATATTGAGGTGCAAAAAGTATGCTCTATCAATAGAGATCATTTATGATCCCAACGATTATAAGCATTTAAGTTTGTAAATTTAAAAAATATACGATCTTTTCTGATAGAATTAAATTATATGAATAAACAAAGCTGATTGCAAGATATGCACCTAAATTATTGTATCAGATAAAGAGCAGTTTCACATTCAAATTTTTGGAGGGCTTCTATGAAGGTCTAAACAACATAACATTCTGTTTCCTAGTATATATATTTATTTGAAAGGGTGATTCAGATCTTAAAGAACTAGTTGAGCATGTGTACTGAACTTTAGAGGGAGTTGAGAAGATTTTATTTTGATTATAGAATTTGCATACAATAATAATTACAGTTAATTTTTATCTTATGAACAAAAAACTGAATCTAATATTGATTATTGATGAAAACTCAAGAAATTTTTAATTAAGTTACTATTGAATCAAACACAATGTATTAAAAGATTCATGTCACGATTATTCGAAAAATTTTATGCAAACTGTTAACTACCTAATGCAACCCTCAATTTTTCTCATCAAGGACTTTGAGACCTAGCAATGAAGAAAAAATGATTCCCGTAGCTGACCCCACGTAGTAGGATAAATGCTTGATGTTGTTGTTGTTGTATGGTTGAATCAAACAAAAATATAATAAAAAAATAACACTATTATCTAACAATATTGCTATTCCAATAACATCAAACTAAACGGCTCCTAAGATAGAAGATCATCTTATGAACAACATATAGGTTTACAAACTTACAGTAAGAACATTGGATAAAATATTTGAAACCAGCCAACAAAATTTGTATTCATTCATACAGATGCAGCCAACTTAATCTCTGCAAAACTTGGCAACATAAGTACACGTTACAATTTGGTAATTAGTGTCAAGGTAAGTAGATGGAACTTATCAGTAGAATAAACAAGAAAAAGAAGCCCGTATACTGCATCTAAAGTAAGTTATTGTATAATACAAGCCTTGATTACAGTTCTTTGGCCGAATTGCCTTTGCACCCTGTCTCCATCACTCTAAACCCTGCATTTTTTTCAACAAATTCAATTTGGATTATAAAAAGGTGATAGAAAGTTAGAATATTATAAATAATTCCAACCTGAAGATTGCAAACAGCATAACAACATTTCCAGAATTCTACTTCCCAGTTGCTTTACGTAAACCACATCTTGTCTGATATTACCCCACGTATTGAGAGAAAGAGAGATTAACTTAACACAGCTGTCAGGCAAGTAAGATCTAATTTTGTTTTCCTAACTTGAATCAGAGTTCTCTGCATACATGTGTGAAAGTAGTGTTCATATCAAAAGCTGTGAAAAATAGTAACTCAGATCTAAAGATAGCGATTCAAAATTGAAGAATCAAAATGAGGCTAATTTGCAGGAAACATACATTACATATTGACAAAAATAAGCTTTGTTTTGGCATTGGAAAACATTAGATTTTGAAGGAAAAGAAGTGTCAATTTTCATTTTGCAGCCTCAAAGTTACTCATGTCTATCATACGGAAAGGTCAAAAAGGATAGTTCAAGGATCATCATTAATGCCATCATCAATAAGCCTTACCTCATTTTTTTAGAACTGCCATACTAGTCTCGAGATTAGATATGAAAGTTCGAGGGATTACTTTAGATTGACAGGTTTACTTATGTCTCTTTCACTTACTTTCGCAAAAAATCTCTTTATATTAGCTTTTACTCTGCTCCTAATAGAATATATTAATGTAATAACGAGCCATGCATCATGAGTACATGTAATCACATGACATGAATATATGATTCACACGAATCATTTGACCATAATTAAACCATCAACTCCCATTTCATTTATTAGATATTTGATTGGAAATCAAAGTTGGGCCAATACACCAATGGTTAAAACTGAATCTCAAAAAAAAAAAAAAAAAAATTTCAAGCCTATGAGAAAAAACCAATATAGCAGTTCTATATACAATATGTTTTTCAAACTCAAAAGCAATATCTTGAGCTGAAAAGTATGTATAACAGTATCACTTACACTCATAGTGTGCCAAGTCGTCAATTCGTGTCTCACTTAAACCGATGAGTTATATCAGAGGAACTGCTTTGAGTTATTCCAAATGGAAAGTTCACCTGTTCAAAGTTCTAAATAAATATCCATAGATGTAGCTTATTTAAAATTTCAGTATACACCAGTTTAATCCTCACATAATAACTCTTAACTTGTTGAGTGAATTGATTCTGTTTCAGCCCCTTTCGCAAGTAAATAACATACAACTTGCGATAAAAGCTGGTCAACTATCTGCAAAGAAGCCATTAAGAGAATTTGGAAAAATTATCTGGTATGCAACTTCTTCATCTTCTTGGTTTGAAAACCTTCAACGTCCAATTAAGTTTCTTGAACTTAGTGAATGGTTTTTTATTTTCTTTCATAATGGAAACCACTATGAAACCCGTGTAATCATCAACAGATATTAAAATGCAATGGTTACTGGAATACAAATGTGGCTGAAAAGCTTCATCAAACAACATTATAAACATTATAAGGAGCCCCTTTTCTGAAGTAGACTTGTCAAACGAAAAATGATAAGTCTTTCCATTAAACAATCATCACATTCCACCCCCTTGATAAATATTGGGTGATTCAGCAAATTCCTTATCAAGAATTTCATTGCCATAACTTTCAATTGTCAACAATAAAATGGTCGAAATCTAACCAGTAAAATAGATGGACAACTAGACTCAATCAGGAAACATAAGACCAAAAGAAATGCAAGCTTTTCGCCTCCTTTTTATTGCAGTCGATATATATCTTAACAAATAGAGATACTTCGAAGAAAGTTCACATCATTTTGTTAAAAGAAAGAGAGAGAGAGACTAGTATCAACAATATTTTACTTCAAGGCATTGTAGACAACATTAAGTGTGAGGTAATCACCTCTAATATACACTTAAGCAAGTTTTAGAAGTCAAATTTTGCATTGCTTTTTGACTTCTAGGTGGAGATTTAGTTTCGGAGGTTTCAAAATTGTCAATATACAGGTTTATGCTTTTGTTTGGCTATATATTCAAACATATCATAAATTGATTGGGTTTGATTGTATACTAATTTAATATGAATTATACATTAAATATGTAAAATTGTAATAAATTAACAGTAAAGTGCATTCCAATATTTTAAGTTATGTTTTATTTTGAAAAACAAAAGAAGAATTTCCACAATCTGGCTAGGACTGATGTGCTTTTTGGCCAATTTTGATCAAAATTCAAGCTTTACATAAGATTTTGGACTAGGTACAATAGAAATTGATACAAAATAACTGAAACAAATTGATTTCAAATTAAAGGTAACTTTTCCCTTGATTATCATGATGTCTTCCTTCTCCACATAAATGGTGTTGTTTTCTATAATGATAGTATCATGACCTTAATAAAGTTGGAGCATAAAAAAAATGAACTAGTATCACTATGACGATGGATGAAAGCCAAACTAACTATTCATTATTCATCAAAGTTGATCAATGATTAGAAACCAAATAAGTAAGATTGATCTTGTCTGCAACTTCACCTTTTTTCTTGCTTGAAATCAGCATTCCTTCTAGTCAAATCCTCGTAATTTTTTTTTCAAATGAAACCACCTTTTCAAATGATTAGGAAATGGCAAGTCACATGGGTAAGTCAAAAAGTTTCTAACTACATCCAAAAAATGCAAAAAATGGCTAGTGAGCTTATAATATTAAAATCAGGTAATATTTGAAAAATTATTATAAATTTAATTTAAATAAAAAATGAGGTACGTAACCTATCAATTTGCATTCACAGAATCTAGTGAATCTAATGGAACAAAAATCATGCCTCAATTCAATAACTATAAAATAAATTTTATTAAATTAAAATTTGTATGTGCTTAGATCTATTTTAAAATATATTAAATTTTTATATAAAAATATAATTTTTTCAAGAAAAACTCACTTATATATTAGTAATTTTTAATAAAATGTTTTGATTCAAAACAGATATATAAGTATACTTAATAAAATTTCAAGCATATAGGCTTATTACTTTTAATTAACCTTATTACAAATTTTTATATAATTTGTTAAATTATATGCAATATATGAAGCATTTAAAAATATATACTTAATAAACATAACTTATGAAGCGACGGAGGTCGGAAGGACTGTAGTCGGTGGGCGACGTTAGTCTAAAGGACCGTAATCCACAAACGACGGAGGTCGGAAGAACTACGTCTGGAAGAAGTCCATCAATGGATAGAAATCCAACATCAGATAGATGTCATGTGAAAATCTGACAATTGGTAGAAGTCCAGCGTCAGGTAGAAATTTGGTGAAGAGCGGAGGTCCGACGTCAGGTAAAAGTTCGACGTTAGTCGGTGGTCGAGGAAAACTCCTATATTAGATGGTATTCGGGGAGAATTCCGGTGTCACTTGGAGTTTGGGTGAAACTCCAGCGTTACTTGGAGGTAGGGCGGAATTCTGGAGTCACTTGGAGGGCAGGCGGAATTCTGGCGTCACTTGGACATAATTCCGGCGGCGGTGATCGAGGAGTTCTTCCCTCCTATCCTTCTTCTCTTCTCCTTCTTCTCTTGCTTTTGGCCTCCCTCACAAGAGAAATGAGAGGTCTATTTATAGATTTCTGGAGTGGCATTTCCTATAAATAGGTGAGAGATCATGAGCGAATCGGGAGTGGTTTGAATGGATGGTCGATATTGAATCCCTTGATCTTGGACCGTTCATCAGACATTTGAATGTCTTAATGATATCAGAATTCGGTGATCTTGAGCTCGTTGGATTCGTCTCGTCGAGCCGCTCAATTCGACTATAAGCACGTCATGTTTGAAAACCGTTTGGTAACTCAAACTGTGGTTTGAACCTTCCAACAGCGCTTCATGTCCTTTATTTGGACTCATTTGGGCTCATATTGAGTCGATTTTGGTGTTGTTGGGTTCGTATTTCCGAGACGATCAGTTCGACAATAAGTTTGCTGAAATCGAAGTTCATATGATCTTAGAATTAATTTTAGAAGTTTATGCTTGATTTTGCCTCGAGATTCGTGCTCGATTAAGATAATTTTATGATGACGTATCAAGACTATTAAGCTAAAGGAAAACAATCATAAGGAATTCAACATTCCTGGGGGATTGAAATCTAAGAACTAACTTGATAAAAGATTTTGCCTATATTCTTTATGGCTACTCACATTGTACTGACTTGGTTTTATGCTCACTCCATCAATTCTTTCTAGTAATTTCAACTTAAAATTTTCTCCGCTAGGTAAACTCTAGCCACCTCAACAATCTCAATTGGTTAGACATTTGAGCGGTGCAATCCAAATTGCATGTCATTACCCAAATCCTACACGTAAGGTATATTCATTAACTTTTAATTTTTCTAACCCGTTTCATCTTATAGTTATAGAAATCTCAAACCTAGGAAAGGAACACATACTGGCTTTAGCCTTCCACCCCTCAGACACTTGAATGCGCCAAGATTCTCTATCCTAAAGGATTTTGCAACTCATTTAGATTCTTGCCATTTACATAATTACTTATCACTAATTTTTTAAACCAAACAATTTTCATATTTTTCAAATCTTAGCTGTTTTTTTTGGTATTATGACTTGATTTTTCATTATAAATTAACTAAATACTAGCTTTATCATTCAACCATTCACATTTTAAATTTAGCTCAGCGTTGCCTTGCAATATGAGTTAGATCCATTTCCAATATGGTAATTTGGAAAAATCTAAGAAAACAAAAGCATGCACGAACGGCCTTGTCATTGTAGTAACCCAGAATCCAAGATGTTATTTCTCTATCCGCACAGTTCATCTTGTTTCTCTCTATCATCCTTAGATCTTGTCAAACCCTATCACATCCTCTTAAAATAGTGCACAATCCTCTTTTATCCTCTCCACTATTTTCATGAAGGCATTGTAACACAGCCATAAATGCAATCCTTTGATATGCTAGACATCAGTTTACAGAATGAGTAACTACAAAATTCTGGTGCCTTTAGTTGTCCTTTATTTTGAGTGGAGTCACAATGCTAGTTATCTCTTTTAGTTGGATGTATCTAGACTTAAAGACCCTTTATTTATTTGAACTTTGAAACTTCATGATTTATGTATCCTCAAGTAGATACTCCAATTCTCACAACATTTAAATATGGCGACTTCATTGAGACTATCAAACTAAAAGAAAACAATCTTTAGGGATTCAACATTCTTTAGGATTAGGATCTAAGCACAAACTTTTAAAAGATTTTGCCTATATTCTTTATGGCTGCTCATATTGTACCGACTAGGTTCTATGCTCACTCCATCAATTCTTTTTGCTAATTCCAACTAAGAAGCTTCCTCGCTAAGTGAACCCTAGCCATCTCGACAATCCCAATTGGTTATAAGACATTTGAGTGGTGCAACTTTTTCTAAATTTCATCTCATTACCTAAGTCTTGATAGGTCAAAGTATTGTGTTAGGATGATTTCTAACTTCTTATCTGGAAATATCAACAACCTTAGAAGATCCAATGCTTAACAGAAATTCGCTAACATTTAATTTTTCTAACCCTTGCTTCATCTTATAGGAATATAAATCTCCAACCTAGGAGAAGGTACACAAACAAGGTCTAGCCTTCCACCCCTAAAGAAACAAATGTGCCTTTCTATCCTAATGGATTTTGCAACTCATTTAGGTGTTATTTGCTTGCCTTAAAAAGGAATGTAGTGTCTAAGGAATGTAGTATAAAAGAATTACAATGAATTTGAAATATTGTAGAGTTGTTTGGTTGAGTTTAAAGTAAATGCAGGTTTTTATTTTTTTTGTTTGACTTGAAATAAAATGAATGCAGAGTAAAGTGAAAAGAACAACAATAGAGGTGACAGATGGGGGTCTACGACAATTGCCGACGGTGGCAGGAAGTAGGTGTGGGCTCCAAAAATTCACGCCCCAGCCTCTCCTACTTTCAGAGGAGTTTTAATGAATTAAGTTCCTGGGTAAATTTTGGCAAGACAAATTGAGTTTGTTGATAAGATACTACCCAAAGATTTCACCCTCATTTTGCGAGGACTTTATGATCTGAGTTTTGATATCCTATAGGCGCAAGCCCCTA